GTTCTTATAGTTATTGCAGTATAGTTTGTACTTGTGTATGTGGTATAATTGCTCCATGTTGTTATATTATTCGTAGTTGTCGTAATTGTGTAATTCGATGAAGAAGACGACGACGATGATGATGATGATGATGACGCCGATGGAGATGTCGCTGAAGATGTGGACGATCCGGAAGTATGATTTTCACTTATAATAGAACAGGAACCATAATGTTCTATTTTACATACTGCAGATAATAAAAATTAAAGCACAATTTTTTATTTTTTATTTGAATTTCTTATTTACCTTCAGTGCAGTTTTGATTTTTAAATTCACATTCATTTGGAAACGTTATCATATTTCCATTGCAATTTCCGCATATAGGATTAGTTTCCTCTTGACATGTTTGCTCACACGGTTTCACACATTTACCTTCCCATTCCTCCCATGTGAGGCAATCTTTTAATAAAAAGTAGAATGATTACTTTAGTGCTATACAAATTACTAATTATTTAGATATTTAAACTTACTTTTTTTACATCTATCTTGTTCCATAAAGCATTGATTTTGATATTCCACTAATGTGCCATTACATACGCCACAGTATGGTTCATGAAATACTGGACAATTACTCTCGCATTCACAAGGCCCTTCGTTGTTTATGACGCAAGCTCCGACAACTAAAATAATATATTATGACTTAATAGTGCTTTAAATTGTTTGAGCATTACAATATTCAAATATATACGTATAACCGCATATGCTCGAATACATGTTTATACTAATCGCTGTCCTCGAGCACAAGCATTCTCAAACATCAAGATACTTGAAGATTTGATCAGAAAAAATAATATTTTATGTTCTGATATTGAACATTATATAAGCCAAGTTTAAATAGTGTTTGAAGCTAAGATCGTCTAATTGTACATACCGTTTTTGTATAAACAATTTTCTGCTAACAATTCACAATCATTGATAAAAGTTTTTTTTGTGCCTAAACAATCGCCACAGACTAGAGTATGAATTGATGAGTTACACCTCTGGTTACACTCTCCATCTCGTATCAATGCTGGTGTCAAAATTGCCTCCTTACTTTTACACTCACCCCTCCTTTCGTCAGTACATACTATAGATATATTGTACATATTATACATTATACGTTTTATATTAATTTACAATAATTTAAATAAATATAAATCACCTTTTCTGCATTTGATATTTTTTAAGTGACATTCGTTGTGAAAGGTTTCTTCTACGCCATTACATGTAGCACAGTACGGATCAGGAGTATCAGGACACGTAGTTTCGCACTTATCTGTAGAACAGGCCCCTAATCTTATCAGTGAACATTTTGCGTTGATTGCTGTTATATTAGGTAAAATGAAGAAGTTTCAATGATATATTAACACGTTACATTAATAATTAATTATTTATATAATATCATAAAATATTATTACCTTTAAAGCGGCACTCCCTGATTTCGTACTTGCATATATTGCCGATTGTATTTCTTATGCCATTACATTCTTCACAAACTGGCGCAAATGTGTTTGGACATGGCTTTTCGCATGGATCAATAACGATGATATCATCTGGATCTATTTCTTCCTCTTCTTCCACTTCTATCTCTTCGACCTCTGTTACAGTAGCGCATAAGCCATAATTCTTTAAGGTACAAACTAAAATGCAAAAATACATTGTTTCTTTTTTAATTTGAATTTATTTAAAAAAATTTTTTTTTGAATTTCACCTGGCCCAGCACAATTTCGCAATTGGAATTGACAAGGATTACTAAAGCTTCGTAATTCTCCTCCACAATCGGCACAAACTGGATTATATTCGGTCATGCATTGTTGATTACACGCTGTTGTATGAACGTAGGTGTAAAGCAGGGAATTTAGAATCAAAATTATACAAATCCTGTAAATACAACTCATTTCAGATAAATTATGAAACTGATTTGCTGTAACGTTCATCAACGCTTTTATACATCATATGGGTGCATACATTGCAGATAAAAATAAATTAACAATGCCCCTTTATCTGCAGGTTATTACTTTTCAAAAATCACAAGTTAGTAAATATAACCATAAATTATTTGCATTTTGGAAATATAGAATTTTAACCAATAGAACTTGAAATGTATCTGCGCTCTAGAGTCAATGTCCCACAAATTAAATAATGTCGTTTATATATTTTTCAATCAGTTAATGTAATTGTATTTGTTTTTTCTTATTCACATTGATATGATTATCATGCGCTTATCATAACGAAATCATTGTACCCAATTTGTAGATCACTGGGTCACTTAAATACTTTCTATAAATCATATACTGGGTGTTATTCATAAAGTGTCATGAATACAGTTAGTGTCCCAACAAAATAATTATATATAAACGGATATCAAGATTTATATTTACAGGGGCAAGTTGTAAATTGTTAGAGATAAAATCACACAGATGGCGCACGCAGTATGATGTCCCATTACTTTTTTAAAAACTGTACCTTTTTGTTTTTAACTGTCAAGTTTTGTAAAGAGTTAATTGTGTGGTTTTATTTTTATATAATGTGTTCAAAATACATGTATTAGATTAGGCAATTTTAATATAATGAAATTTGTTTAATGAGTGATATATACTAATATCCGGGCACACTCAAAGTTCAACAGTAAAGTAACCCTAATATTTCACACTCTCTTATAAAAAGATTACACCTGCAACTATTCCGTGTTTTGGGAGGAGGTGAATTCTTTTCACCCTTAAAAAAAGCGAAGGAACAAAGAAAGTTATATTCGGATTATCTACCAGGTCCATCACAATTGAAATCACTTATAGGGATATTCAACATAAAATAATAATTGTATGCTACTAAGAAAAATCAGAATCATTACGGGATTTCCGGTAAGATACTATAGATTAATTGGGAACTTACTGTTGTGAAACTTGTAGGTGTTGGTGGTTCTGTAACTCATCTTTGCAGATTATGTCTTTAATACAATCACAAAAATAATTACTTTTTATTATGGGTACTCTCTTTAATAACAGTGCCCATAGCAACATATTTTATTTCAGTAGATAAAATTTTTAATATCTCTTAATGTGCCAGGTATTTTGGGCCCAAAATAGAACAACAAAAAACACATAGAAATGACGCAACAGCTAAGCGGTCGTTTTTTTATACCAAAGGTCATTGGTTCGATGCCTCCACAGATTATTTTTGAAATGCTAAGTGTCTTTGCAATTTAATAAAAATCAAATTTAAATACTTATAAAACTAGAAGATATATATAAATTAATATAAATATATCAATAATTTTTTTTAATTTTAATAAAGCATTTCAAAAAATATTTAAAAGATTTTAAAAAAAAATATTTGAAAAAATTAGAATTTTTAAGGGCACAAAAAATAGAAGTAATTATACAAAAATGGTAAGTTAGTAGCTACTCTAAGAGTGCAATGTTTTTAATGGAACGCATATGATGTGCAAGACATGGACGCATTCAGACTTCAACACGTGTACGCAAAATGTCATCGACGACATTTGAAGAATTTGTTTGAAGTTGTCTTCGATGGTCATCAATTATTTAAAGTGATCGATCTACAAATATAGGTCCATGCATTCAAAACATCTTTAAAGACGGATCAATCTGTTTCCACATTGTTATTTATTTTGCTAGTCAATTCTGTGTATTACTAATCTCAATACAAATCTTAATCTTAATCCTGATTTCAACAGCAACATCAATAGAAAAAATACGCTAAATGCTAATTAAAAAGTATAAGTGAATTTAAACAAAAGAAACAAAAACAGACTCTCTTCTGAGATCTTTCAGAAGAATATATTACTTATATAAGAAAGATAATTCTATCATATGAAATGCTACTAAGGATAATAAGGGACTGATATACAAAGAATAAAAAATAGATGTATACTCGTATGAAAATTTTAAAATAAAGGACATATTTTTGATAAGCTGTTTTAGAGATATTTGGATTTTAAGAAGTATGTTAAATATAATTCTTCCTCAGTCAATTTTCTTGGGTGCAGTGTATCTAGCCTAATATTGAACATCCTTCATCCTTTTCTCCATATAATATCTTTTAAGTCTTGAATCAATTAATTGATTATTTATTATTAACGAAACATATACCCTGTATCTTCTATATATTATACATATTATATTATTATTATTATTTTAATAAATACGTTAAATATAATTCTTCCTCAGTCAATGTTCAGTGACTGAGGGTGCAGTGTATCTAGTCCAATATTGAACATCCTTCATCCCTTTCTCTTTATAATATCTTTTAAGTCTTTAACCAAATAATTGATTATTTATTATTAACGAAACATATACCCTGTATCTACAATATATTATACATAATATATTATAATTATTAATTATTTACTTGTTTTAAATAAATTATTATTTATTGTGCTATTGAAGTAAATTAGTATTAATTACAACAATATAATTTAAAATTATTCAAATTACACATATGGAAAAAAACTGAAGACTATAAGATAAAAAACAAAGAAATATTTTTTTTAGGCATTGCAACCGGTCACCTATTTAATTTACTTATGATAACCCCACAAATTTTTGATAGCAGTCAAAAAACTCTTTGAATGTTGCTAAGATAAAGTGCTAGTCTCTTGAAATGTTTTATCTTAGAAGGATAAAACTTGAAATTTAAATTTTATTTTTTTATACCATTCATCTACCATTATAGTAAGTGATTGAATTTGTATCAATTTTTGTAAAGCAGTGAAGTAGAGTCTTCCATTATAAAGAATATTATTATATATATATCAAAGTTTAATCATCTAAACCAATCTCTCTCATCTACAATACAAAATAATTACTTAATATTTAATTTAAAGATGTTTTATCTGTGATATAGTGTAATTTTTATTGTGATTATATCTCGACACTAACAATATATATAATATATTTCATATTTGACTCTAAGGATATGTATTGAAAAAGCAAAGATATTGAATATTATTTATATGCACTTTCTATACAGCCAATAATTACGGTCAATAAGGTAAATATTTTACATCAGACACAGAAGCTTCAAGTTCTGGCGTTAAAATGAAAAAAAGAGGGGTATGGAGTGTTAGATGGAGATAACTGCATCGATTCATTCCATCAAGTTCTTGACCAATATGTTAATTCTATGAAAAGTACTTTATATTTCATTTCCTCCACTGTAATAAAAATATAATGACAAACGATATTTAAAAGCTTGATTTGTTGGAATCACAAGTACAAAGTTATTTAGAATAAGTATTAGATTACAAAAAGGATTTGGACTCCCAGTGGAATAGAATACGAAAACTATAAAAGACATTTTTTTTGCAACAAAATAAACGTCTTTCGTGCAGGAATTTCTAATTTCAGACGAAGCAATAACTCACATATTATTAATTTTCTCCTGGATTAGAATGTGATCAAACATCTCATCGTGTATCTATCAAAGAAGACATATTGTTACATCAAACAGATTTTTCATGCTGTTCTAGAAATGGCCGTTAACAACCCCTATATGATATTTATAACCTCAGTTCTGTTCTATTGAGAAATGACACCTTTTTGTACTCAGACCAACTCCTTAAACTACAGGTTATATAAAATATCGCACCAGTACGTTATTCAGAAAAATATTTATTCAATTTTTGTTTTTGATAATGGAAGTCGAATATTGGACATTTTTTCCAAATTTTAGTTAAATTTATACACTTTGATTAAATTAACATAACACAAAATATAATAAAATTAATTAATATAACAAAAATTGTCATATATTGGATTGAGCAAAAACTTCTTGACGCTTTTCCGTTCTTAGATAGATGACAGAACACTTAATTATTACAAGTAATTGGCAATTGCCTGACAAGTATTTAGACAAATATATTGTCTAATTTTGTTCTCAAACTTTGTAAAAAATGTTTTTTGGTCTGATGAGTCTACTTTCGAGAAAGTCAATGGAGAAATGGATAGTTTTACAAAAATGTGACATGTAAGCAACCACTATAAATTAATAGTGCCAGACCACAGATATATAATATATAGATATAAATAGATTAAATCAACATATCTCCATTCCTTCCGGTATTTGAAATAATATCATGTAAACATAAAATGTACCTAAACAACGAGAACTATGAAAATTTCCAGACTCTTATAAAACCTTGCAATTCCAATAAAAGAAATTAATCGAAAATATAATCAATGTCGATAAAAAAAATAACATCAAATAATTATAGAGCAGTCCAAATATAATTCCTTTCCGGGTTTATTTTGTTTATATCAGTAAAATTTATTAAAATTTTATATTAAGAGTTTACAGAAAATATTAAGTTTAACATAACAACCTGAAAATGAAAAGTTGTGAGAAATGGGTAAATTAAACATTATATTAGATATAGAAAAATGAAATTTCTGATTCCTTACCATTGTTCAATTCACAATTCTTCATATCATATTTACATGAATTATCGAACAACATTAACTGTCCATTGCACTTAGCACACACTGGTTCTCCAGTAGCTGGGCATGGTTTTACACAGGGATTACAGACACCTACAGTGACTCCGGTACATCCTAAAAATGTTCAAAGAATCACAATTTTTTCAAACTTTTCTAAAAAATTATCTTTGAAGTCATATCACCTTGGTCAGGGCAATTCCATTTTTTATAATAACACATATTTCTGAAATTAATACGTTTGCCGGGACAATGCGCACAAACTGGGTTATGAACGTCCGAACAATTTCTTGCACAAGGATTAGGAGTTGTTGTAATACAAGGACCGTTAGATTGAAATACACAGGCTAATATAGACATCAATCAAAATAAATTAGATACTTCTAACAATAATGATCGAAATTCAAATATTTACTTGGTACATCACAGTTTTGCTTACGAAGAAAGCATATATTCCTGAAGGTTCTACGTACTTTACCATCACACAAACCACAAACTTGATTTATTTCAGTAGGACATTCTCTAGTACATGCTGGATGCTTGGTTGTTGTTGTGGTTTTCTTTGTGGTTGTTGTCGATTTTTTTGTTGTGGTGGTTGTAGTTGGTTGTTTTGTTGTTGTGGTTGTAGTCGGTTGTTTTGTTGTTGTAGTCGTTGTCGGTTGTTTCGTTGTTGTAGTCGTTGTCGGTTGTTTTGTTGTTGTGGTTGTAGTTGGCTCTTTCGTTGTTGTGGTTGTAGTCGGTTGTTTTGTTGTTGTGGTTGTAGTTGGCTCTTTCGTTGTTGTGGTTGTAGTCGGTTGTTTTGTTGTTGTGGTTGTAGTTGGCTCTTTTGTTGTTGTAGTCGTTGTCGGTTGTTTTGTTGTTGTGGTTGTAGTCGGTTGTTTTGTTGTTGTGGTTGTAGTTGGCTCTTTCGTTGTTGTGGTTGTAGTCGGTTGTTTTGTTGTTGTGGTTGTAGTTGGCTCTTTTGTTGTTGTAGTCGGTTGTTTTGTTGTTGTGGTTGTAGTCGGATGTTTTGTTGTTGTTGTAGTTGTAGTCGGGTGTTTTGTTGTTGTTGTTGTTGTAGTCGGGTGTTTTGTTGTTGTGGTTGTAGTTGTAGTTGGCTCTTTTGTTGTTGTTGTTGTAGTCGGATGTTTTGTTGTTGTGGTTGTAGTCGGATGTTTTGTTGTTGTGGTTGTAGTTGGCTCTTTTGTTGTTGTAGTTATAGTCGGTTGTTTTGTTGTAATGGTTGTAGATGGTGTACAATGTCCATATGACTCATATACGCAATCTATACAATATACATTGTAGTTAGTATTACAAAGAATTTGCGACTAACAAAAATTTTTCACTTTTAATTAATATCAAACATACTCACTTTCTTCATTACAATTTAATAAACACATATTATTAAACATTTTCAAATGTCCATTACAATTTCCACAAACTGGTACACTTACGGCTACACTGCGACATTCATCATCACAATTCCGAGGAGGAGCACTTGTTATAAGTGCTGTGCTAGTTTCAGTGTTATGCGATGGACAAGCGCCAGAAGATACTAAATAACAATCTAGAATATTCCAATTATAAAATTCATATAATTGTTCAAATATCTTATCTGATTTCATATTACCATAATCACAAAATAGATGACATGAACTTTTGAAGGTAACTTCTCTATTATCGATGCATTCACCGCATACAGGTCTATCTTGCTTACTGTGTTCCTGATCACATGAGTCCTGACAAGTTTTTATATAAGTGCCAATTACAAATGCAAAAAATTGCAGTAAAATAAAACTTCTATAATTCGCAATCATCTTCACTTAATTAAACATTTAAATTGAAAACGTTATTGTCAAGTTAGGTACTTATATAGCTGAATACATTTAATTTACATATTTCTGAAGCATATAGCTATATGTATATTTGACATGATAAAGTTATTTGAAAATCAACAGTTCTAACTGTTCAAATACATTTACTCTACAAAAATATAGGTTCTTGACCTGAATAGACAAATACTTCCCAAATTACTTGGATTTTCTTAACAAATTTTAATTTAGAGTACCCTACAGTTGCCATTTTTATATATAATAACCAAGGCTTCGTTCTATAATAATCAAAGGCTTCGAACCGGAACGGAACCAAAAACCGAAAAAAACAGATATATTTATCGAAGCGAAAACCGGAACCGAATTGTTATTTTTTTGTTTTGAACCGGATCGAAAACCAGAACGGAAAAAATTCCGGTTCGAAGCCCTGAAAATAACATATACTCACTCCAGAGTTCTATATTTGTGTGGAACTTACTTTTTTTAAACTTATTTAAGCTTTTACAGTATGTTAGCATGCCTAGCCATTGTTTAGATTTATAAATAATATATATACAAAATACGGTTCTCTTGAAAAAACTTTTTCACTAAATCTATGAACATTTACGTTGGCACTTTAAATCCAAATTAATCTGTGCTTGTTTTTTTTTTTAGATAGACTCTGCTCCACAAAATTATATGAAATGGCTAATTTAAATTACAACTTTTAATGGTAGAACTCCAATTTCTGTCCTATCTAGACAGCTTCAGTAAACTCTAGCTAACACGAGTCACTGGAGAACATACATATAAGTCTACAAAATCTACAATTTCGATATTTGAAATTAATTGTTATTTTTAGACTAATAAAAGATAAAAATTAATATTTTTTTTGATTTTATTTCTAACGGATACGTCCACAAAATAAAACAAATATTATTCACATGCTCTTAAATTCAATCATTTTATATGTTATGATAATATTATTTCATATATTATTTAAAAGACTACAAGTATTTTAATATAGGAACTTAAAAAGGAATGTATGTAATTATTTTATCTACATAAAGAAAGGTTTTTTTATCTATATAAAGAAAGGACTTTTATCTATATAATGAAAGGATTTTATAGAGATAAGGAAAATGTGAAAGAAGTGTCCACAACTATATAAATATCATTGGAAAATTTATATATCTTTCAACTAGTATTTAAGTTTTATCGTCAAATAAATGACATCTTACACAAAGAAATTCACATCAGATATATTATCTGATATTAAATAAATTGATTGATTAAAATCCATAGCTATCCAGATAAACTAAGTAATTGTATTTAATTTATTTTTTTCTCTTCTTTGCTTGATCAAACGCGAGTTAGTATCTAAAACACTTTTACTCAATAGTGTCTGTGACTGTGACGGGGCGTGCCCTATCTGGAAGGGTGTGCGGCCCTTCTACAATGATGTTGTTTTTATATGTACAGTTTAAATCAGAAATGATAAATTGAAAGAGATATGATTTTTTATTAATAATAACTATATTACATTAGGCAATAATATATTCACAATATAATATTTAGCAATTCGTTAATAAAATAACATATGAAATAAATTGAATTATTAATTTATATATAAAAGTTTAATATTATATCAATATGACTCTTGACTCTCAAGTCTTTCTCATGTACCATGTATCATGAGCTTTTAGCATACCTACATATATTCTGATAAGTTCAGAGTTTTCTAATGGTAGATGGAGTAGCATTGCCATACTTAACACAGTCATAAAATAGTTTAGGTCTAATTATTTGCTTATAAAGCATTTTATTTACTCAACTTTTCTTGTGTTAAAGGTTTTAGGGCATTGAAAAGTTAGACCTAAGAGTTTAACATTGTATTCCTATTCTATTTCCACATTATTGACTTTTTTCCTTGCATTTTGATCTGTACGTCTTCCAATGATCGTAGGCTTCATCTTTTCAGCATTAACCACAATTCTCCACCTGCGAAAGTAACTCATTATTTTATCAATATGCAGCTATAAATTGTTTGAAATAGAATTAGCATTTTTGTCAGCACTTATAATTCAGAAGTCGTCAGCAAAAATCGAAATTGTGTTCATAAATTCCAAAGTAAAACCTGCTGTATATATATAATACAATAAAGGAAATAATGGAGATCCTTGAGGGACGCCCGCTTCAATTTTCTTTACAGAGGAAAAGTGGTTTTGAACTTTAACCAAGAACTTTCTATTTGATGGAAAGTTTGCTTAAAGATTTATCAATTCAACTGGAATATCATAATTATATAGTTCGATGATCAATCTGTTATGTAACACCTTATCGAACGATTTAGCGATGTTAAACAAGACCACTCCAGTAGATTTCACTTCGCTGAGAAGTTAAAATTAAACAAATGCCAAGATGATTTAATTTTTATAAGAAAAATTTTCATATATTGGGTTGGACGCAAGGGTTTTGCCTGACAGGTGGGAGATCAGTTGATTATTACAAGTAGTTATCAAAAAACATATTTTATATATTAATATATTTTATTTATTTTTTTCTGAAACTTTATTTGTGAAAAATATTTTTTGGTGTGGGGAGTCTATTCTCAAAAAAGTCCATGAAAAAATGGATTGATTTCCAGAAGAATGAAGTGTAAGCAGATATAATAAAGTAGACCGTAAAATTGATTAAAACAAAGAGAACTATGAATAGTTCCAAACTGTTAGAAAACCTAAAAATTCTACAATAACAGAAATTTCAGATGGTAGTCGAAAATATGTACAACTTGGAATAATTTTTAACCAGCACAAAAAAAAATACAATTTGTTTTTCGTTTTATTTTATTTACAACAGTAAAATTTATTAAAATTTTATTTTAAAAATTTACAGAAAATGTTAAGTTTAACATAACAACCTGAAAATGAAAAGTTGTGAGAAATGGGTAAATTAAACATTAAATTAGATATAGAAAAATGAAATTTCTGATTCCTTACCATTGTTCAATTCACAATTCTTCATATCATATTTACATGAATTATCGAACAACATTAACTGTCCATTACACTTAGCACACACTGGTTCTCCAGTAGCTGGGCATGGTTTTACACAGGGATTGCAGACACCTACAGTGACTCCGGTACATCCTAAAAATGTTCAAAGAATCACAATTTTTTAAAACTTTTCTAAAAAATTATCTTTGAAGTCATATCACCTTGGTCAGGGCAATTCCATTTTTTATAATAACACATATTTCTGAAATTAATACGTTTGCCAGGACAATGAGCACAAACTGGGTTATGAACGTCCGAACAATTTCTAGCACAAGGATTAGGAGTTGTTGTAATACAAGGACCGTTAGATTGAAATACACAGGCTAATATAGACATCAATCAAAATAAATTAGATACTTCTAACAACTTCTAACAATAATCGAAATTCAAATATTTACTTGGTACATCACAGTTTTGCTTACGAAGAAAGCATATATTCCTGAAGGTTCTACGTACTTTACCATCACACAAACCACAAACTTGATTTATTTCAGTAGGACATTCTCTAGTACATGCTGGATGCTTGGTTGTTGTTGTAGTTTTTATTGTGGTCGTTGTTGTAGGTGCTTTTGTTGTTGTAGTTGTAGTTGTAATCGGATGTTTTGTAGTTGTGGTTGTAGTTGTAATCGGATGTTCTGGTGTTGTGGTTGTAGTTGTAATCGGGTGTTCTGGTGTTGTGGTTGTAGTTTTAATCGGGTGTTCTGGTGTTGTGGTTGTAGATGGTGTACAATGTCCATATGACTTATATACGCAATCTATACAATATACATTGTAGTTAGTATTACAAAGAATTTGCGACTAACAAAAGCTTTTCACCTTTAATCAATATTAAACATACTCACTTTCTTCATTACAATTTAATAAACACATATTATTAAACATTTTCAAATGTCCATTGCAATTTCCACAAACTGGTACACTTACGGCTACACTACGACATTCATCATCACAATTCCGAGGAGGAGCACTTGTTATAAGTGCTGTGCTAGTTTCAGTGTTATGCGATGGACAAGCGCCAGAAGATACTAAATAACAATCTAGAATATTCCAATTATAAAATTCATATAATTGTTCAAATATCTTATCTGATTTCATATTACCATAATCACAAAATAGATGACATGAACTTTTGAAGGTAACTTCTCTATTATCGATGCATTCACCGCATACAGGACTATCTTGCTTACTGTGTTCCTGATCACATGACTCCTGACAGATTTCTTTATAAGTGCTAACTGCAAACGCAAAAAATTGCAGTAAAATAAAACTTCTATAATTCACAATCATCTTCACTTAGTTAAACACTTAAATTGCAAATGTTATTGCAAAGTTAGGTCCTTATATAGCTGAATTATTTGATTTACATTTTTCCAAAGCATATAGCTATATATATATATATTTGATACGATAAAGCTATTTGAAAATCAACACATCTAACAGTTCAAATAAATTCACTTAGCAAAAATTAAGGTTATTGACCTGAATAGATAAATACTTCCCAAAAATATTCGGATTTTCTTAACAAATCTTAATTTAGAATACCCTACAGTTGGTATTTATATATAACTGAAAATAAAATATTATCTACTGCACATATCTACTGCAGATACTCCCACTTCTTATGAGAGAAATATTCTCTTACTATTAAATAGAAGAAACTGTTTTATTTTCAGAAAAATAATATTTTTAAAACTTTACAATAAAACAAGGTTTGGCCTAGGCACCAGATATTGTTTAGGTTGAAACCTATATACAGGATTTACATTCGCTTTGCTACATCACAGAAGACGAACAATTAGAATAAAAAAAAGTCTGTCCTTTAAAAAAAATCATAAAGAGTATAAAGAACTTAGATCAGCTAGAAGTACACACTCTTTTTTACTGAAGATATGAAATAGTAAATTAGAAGAGGATCTACATTTCATAAAAGGCATTTAAGTTTTTAATTAATTTACTGAGATACATAATAGAACTTTCAGGATGCAATGAACTTGGAGCTATAATAATATTAATCAAGATACATCATTTTAGAGTTAATTGGGTTGTAGATATTTATAAAACTTAATTTTGTAAAAAAAGTTTTGTAAAACTTTTTTAGTGTGTTATAAAAATACGGCTGGAAAAGTTAGTCATTGCTAAGATTTAAAAATGTATACAAAAGATATATGAAATAGGTTTTTTTTTGATAAAACTTATTATAAACATAAACTTTTCTGTTTTACATTTCATATAAAAGTATTTTAGACACAAATTGATTATTGCTTAGTAATTATAAGTTTTTTCTAGATAGACTTTGCTTTAATAATATTATCTCTGCAGAAAAGATCTTTCAGGTCACACTACATGCATAACCTATCCATAATAATAAATAAATTATCTGATATTGGTTGATATAAATTAAAACTTTTAATTGTAGAGTTGCAATTTCTGTCGCATCTAGACAGTTTCAGTCGACTCTTGCTAACACGAGTCACTGAAGAACATACATATAACATACATATATATAAGTCTACAGAATCTACAATTTCGACATTTGAAATTAATTATTATTTTTAGACTAATAAAAGATAAAAATTAATAAATAATTTTTTTTATTTCTAACGGATACAGCGACAAAATAAAACAAATATTATTCACACGCTCTGAAATTCACTCATTTTATATGTTATGTTAACATTTTTTCTTATATTATTTAAATAATTAAATAATGTATCTGAAAATTGGAACAAAAAAATTGTTTTTTTAATATAAATATAAAAAAAGGTTTTATGTGTACAAAAATAAATTATATCAAAAAGAAAAATTTAATATTAAAATAAAAATATCAGTGAAAATTTTGAGACGTTTGCATTAACTTTCAGAAAATGTGTATCTAAGTCATCTGCTTATATCGCAACTAAATTCAAATTTTGATCAGTTTAGTTTATATATGTTTAATTTAATAAAGTACTTCTATTAGTGCCCCTCAACAAATCCTTTATGTATTGAAGCATTACACATTATAATAAAAAGTCATATAAAAATTTTGACATTCAAATAACCAGCCCACTGTTTGTGGCATTTTGAATGGCCGTGATTATCGATAGACACTCTCATTTAGTGTCTTCGGACCATTGTGCCAAGTTATATGTAAATCTTCACCGCAAAAAAAAAATTGTGAAAATGTTCTAAAGTCATTTAAATTTCTTAGAGAAATGCAAACTGGTTTTGTAAACCGAGAAGCCACCCAACAGACTTACACCGAGAACTTTACTTTATACTATGCAATATTCTATTCGTTCCAAACAAATGAAATTTTGATATCTGAATCTACCTTATTGATCCTGCCAATAAAGTGTCTTACTACAAACATATATTTTTTAAAAATCCTACATCTCTATCTATATCTGGGACAATAAAAACCTCAAGGAACCCTCGGAAGTGCATTACATACACAATATGTCGCTGTATGACATTCGTTATGTCGCTGTATGACATATTATGCGCACGTACTTTTTGGAAAATGACTAATATGTAATAGAAATACCGCAACAGTGATGTTTAATTAAAGTTTTTTTTTTAAATTTGAAACAAATGAAAAAGGGACATATGTAAATAGTGTCGAATACGCACGGTTTTGACTTGATTGCATGAAAAATATACACTATCTGTATTTGCACATTTTAGTGATGTGAAATAAACTAAGCAAACTCCTTCACTTTGCTCACACATGCAGTTAGTGCTCAACTAAGTTTAAATACTCGTATATATATCGTAATGAAATGTACAACAGGCAAAGTGCCACCTAATAATAATAAACACAAAAAAGACAAGGGGAAAGTGAAAAAACTTTGGAAAAAGCCAAACTGTTACTTGACAAAAGAAATGATTATTTAGTGCAAAATAAACAAAATAAATAAATTAATAGAAAAATAAAAATATTAACATTATAAGAAAAAAGTGCCAGTTGACAGCACTAATAAAATTCATGTAGAAAATGTCTGTGTAAACGAACGGTATCTTTTTAGGAGCGCGTGCCAAACATTAAAATTTTCTTGTCTAATTTTTGACTGCTAAGATTTTGATTTGACTAAAAGTTCTTTTAGAAAGTAATAAAAAAAAACAAAAAAACGATCCTTATATTTTCGACCATACGTGCTGTACGTCCGTATATACTAAATAAAAACAATAGCGCGCGTGCCACACAAATTTTCCACACATATGACACGCATGGTATAGATATACCATTGCTGGATGTGATAATACTAACGCCTTAAAATAGGCAATGAAAATCTCGTTGATATAAATAGATTTAATAAAGAATACTTTTGGGCTTCTGTTATATTTAACAAACGTACAATAAACATAGCTGCGAACCGTGATATGTGAATAGCGGTATTTGCAAATAATTTTGCAAAAATTCTGACATTTGAAGGACCTGCGCAGTTCCACATAAACTCGAGCGATACTTTTCTGTAGTAAAAATTGCTCAGTTTGTCATCTGTCTGTCGTAGAACACAAAATTTCAACTTTGCAAATGTAAAAATATTTGCAAAAACAGTGCAGTTAATTAACAAAAAATATAATAAAAAGGCAAT